CTGAGGAGCAGTACGACGCTCGTCGAAGATTCGGTTGAACATCAAGATAAATAGGAGAGCCTCCAGCACGTGAGGAGGAAACACGCAGCGCTTTGTGAGTGGCCTGCGGCTATAACGAACTCTGACATTCTCTGACAGATTCGACGCGTTCACTGACATTAGAGATAGTGGGGGCGCGTTTTCGTACGGACGAGCAGAGGACGGTTGCCCAAACTCGCCCTACCCGCGCGTGTAGAACAGGTAGCTCGTCCCTATAAATAGGGGCGAGAATCCTCACTTTTCGATACAATCTCAGATACTCTCACATATTTTCCTACACTTATATTATCTCTCAAGATCTGACTTGAGCGTTGGAGGCTCTTCACCGAAAAACACCTCCGGTGTGGGAGTTTCGTGCAGGTTCTGTGTTCAACCGGCGAGGAGAACAAGCTTTAGACGATTTCCAGCCGGTCGGGGTGCGAGACTTGTATTAGAATATAAATTACAAATCTCAAATTATTGAGCCATCATCTTCGTCTCTGTCAACCTCTTGCGAACAAAAAATATCCTCAATTAGTCCTATATTCAAAACAATGAATCAAGGATTTAACTTTATCAAACAAGTTAATAGGTCTAATAGGCCTATGCTGAAGACTCGAATTGTAAGAATGTTTTTTCAAGACCGGGGCAACACATATAAATCCTATCTCAAGTTGGTTCTTCATGTTAAAACTGTAAACCAAACTATTTTTACTTTTTTTTTTTTAATGTCGAACTATGAAACGTATATTTGTTTTTTTACTTTTTAATTTTATTTTTAAAATTCAAAATTTGGCTTCTTTCTTTTTATAGTGTATGTATTCAAATATTTAAATTATTTATGTTTTCTTAATTTTTTTTTTATTAATTACTTTTTTCTACATGTTTAGGGAAATCGCATTGCGGCATGGCTACGGGCAATCAACTTGGCTGCGTTTAGAGAGAAGAATTTTGAGGAGGGCGTGATCATTTGTATCAAGAATTATCAAGTTGACAACAATCTAGGAAAGTATCATTCGACATCCGGTGATTTTAAGATCATGCTACACATGAGTAATTATATGTTGTTGTTTCGCGTGTAACTAATAGAAGGGGTTGAAGATATTAGTTTGTGAGGATGGCGAGTTGCACAATAATCAAACGCATATTGTTTCTTTTTTTAATACTATTTTTTGTACAATTTTCCTGCGTATTATAAAACATTTATTTCAGTTGCATCTTATAATATAATATTTCCCAAATAAATATATCACGTGCCTCGCACAGGTCACATACTATATATATCCCGTACATTTTTCTACTTTTCTTTATTCATTTATACAATTATAAAACTGGATAAATGACCTTACAATTGTGCACTCGTACATCGCACGGACTCTGTACTAGTTATAAATTAATATGCATAATTAAAAATATTAATAAACTACATGGCTGTCCAATCGTGCACAATTACTAATCCGTATATTACCTTAATTAATTAAACCGTACAAACTACCGCCGGAACGACGCCGTGTGTGGCTGAACCCCAACCTAAAAAATTCGTGTCAATTGGCCCCTCTCGGAGAAAAGTAGAAAACAGCAGAATCGACTTATGTTGGTCGAAAGCTCAGGTGCGTATGTTTATTTCTGTTTTTCATGGCAACTTATCTACAACTGGAATTGATTTTGAAGGGATATAGAAACTGACTTGCTTGTTATAGATAACTCTCTGGGCTCTGTGCGCTTTGGTAAGCCTATCCATGGAGAAATCTAAAGAAGTCTCAAATTCGTGGAGTGTGGTGTAATGTTATGCAGTTTTAGCCCCTTTTTTTTTTCTTGATTTTAATACTGTAAGAATTCGTCAAGCTGGTTTCTTTTTAGGGGGGTTATTGCCATTTGGGTGTATACTGATCATCTTCATTTTCCAGTTCCCGTATTTCAGTTTTATGATGCTCAGTTTGAGGTATTCTCTGGCTACCATTGGTGTAGGGTTGGAATCAGCTCGACTCGGGAAAAA